AAAAAAAAATGAATCACCATTTCATCATCATCCTCATCTTTCTACGCCACACAACTGATGTGCTAGAAAGAGAAACACAGTGGAATCAAAGTTATCAAACCCGAAGTCAAACACCTCTTTTCCAGCGGATGAAATGCCCTCCGACCCTGAAGAAGAAACTACTAGGCCCCAAGCTCCGGACCCGGAGGTTTTCATGGATTTGGATCTCGATCTGGATGGCTCGTGGCCATTGGATCAGATCTTTGCGGCAGCTGCGGCGAATCCCGTGCCGCCGTTTTTGCTGTCTAGTTCGGAGCAGCCGTGTTCTCCACTTTGGGCCTTTTCAGATGATAATAATAACTGGAATTTCGTATCAGGCGCTGGTTCCCGGTTAGCCGACTCCTCCAGGATAATTTCTTGTATGCTTTTTGCTCTAAGCTTATTTAGACGTTCTGAATTGGAAAGTTTTCTTGGTTCTACTCTAGCAATAACCTTGAAGCTTTTGTAGCTTAACCTTGGTGGCACCTGTTGTAGCTTATCTGGGTCAAGACAGTTTTATGAGTAGGAAACACACTTATAGACTTCTTCCCATTTCATTCTGTCTTGCTTTCTATGTGTGTAGGAGAATCGTAGTTTAGCTTGTTTGATTTGCATATGTATTTTACTATGATTAACTTGTCCAATCTATTAGGAAACAAGCCAATAGTTTGACAAAGCTGATTCGGTAGCTGTTCATTAATTTTATATTTCTAAATTACATAAATTTCTGATAATAAGAAATGTCTGTTTCATCCGTCTGTTCTTTTCATCTCTGATTCTGCGCTAAAAGTTTTACTGCTGCTTCAGAGTATATAATGAATGTGGTAGTGCCACATGCACTTTGTCTTATGAATCTATGAATCAACTGAACATTTGCACATGTGTGGTTGACTCTGGTTTAATTTATGTAGACTCCAGTAACCCTGATATAGCAGCTGAAAGTGTATGTGCTAATGACGACAAGAAAAATCTCCCTTCTCCTTATGTGGGAACGATGCCTATTGGCAATCCTGATGGGTCGTGTATGATAAAAGAAAGGATGACTAAAGCTCTTCGGTATTTCAAGGATTTGACTGAACAGCATGTCTTAGCTCAGGTTTGGGCACCTGTGAAAAATGGTGGCCGATATATGCTCACTACATCAGGGCAACCGTTTGTTCTCGACCCAAATAGTAATGGGCTCCATCAGTATAGGCTGGTCTCCCTTATGTATATGTTTTCTGTGGATGGTGACAGTGATGGAGATCTCGGACTTCCAGGTCGTGTGTTTCGGCAAAAGTTGCCAGAATGGACACCAAATGTACAGTACTATTCCAGCAAAGAATTTCCACGTCTCAACCATGCATTGCATTACAATGTTCGAGGAACTTTAGCTTTGCCTGTATTTGAGCCTTCGGGGCAGTCATGCGTTGGTGTGCTTGAGCTGATAATGACCTCCCAGAAAATAAATTATGCCCCAGAGGTTGATAAAGTCTGCAAGGCGCTTGAGGTTAGATTATGTTCTCTCCATTAACATGGTGCTTTTGGACGCCATTAGCATGGTTCTCATTGAATTTTGAATTTTGAATTTTGATCAGTATCATAAACCATGTATTGTTAGTAGTGTCTTCCTTGTAAATGTTTCAATTTTTGTGATCTTAAAATGTACTATTGCATTCGGCTTCTGTTAATGTTGGTGTTACATCAATACCGAGGATACTAAAGCCCATCTTACTTTATGTGTTAATACTGGATATTATTTTAAAATGGTTAACCACCCAATCCAATTTTAAAACCCAACCCAATCTTCTTTGTAATGGTTAACCACCCAATCCTCCCTATATATTATTCCCGAATGCGCTGAGCCTTCCTCCCTATATTATTCCCGAATGCGCTGAGTACGTGGCTGCTTCTGGTGCTTCGAAATCCTACTTGGCAAAGAATCATGCTTCGTAATTAGGTTTGGACAAATAATATTGATATATTAATAATTAATAATTTAGGTTTGGACATTCCATAAATATTTTTGCTAAGTTAGGTATTTTAATATCACTTATACTAATATAACCCTTTATTTCTTTGTAATTTTACATACTGAGGCATTAAGTGACTAATATATCTCTGACTTTGGATTTGTTTCCTTTAATTAGCTATTGAATTATAAATGTATTTTAAAAGTTGATAACTTTTGTATTTGTTATCTGTTTTACATATATAATATATCAAATTAATCATCTTTTGATGATCTTCGATTTGACATCCATATTGTATATATGAAATAAATGAATTATACTTATCTTTATAATAATAAAAAATAATAATATTTATTAAAATTCATTAGAAAAATAAAATTATTTCTCAATTGATATATTTACGCTTAATATAGTTATATGTTGTAAGTTTAAAAATGATTATAATATAACACATGTAAGTTGCACAAATAAAAAGTGTCATACTAAATATATAATAATATACATATTTTTATAAAAGATATTTAAATTTTCAACTATTTTTTCTCATTAATTTTAGATTTTAAGAAAAAATTAGCAAGCACCCGTGTAATACACGGGCGTTGTACTAGTTTCCATAATTTTAAAATGTTCTATTGCATTCAGTTACTGCTAATGTGTTACATCAATACTGAGGATACAAGAACCCAACTTACTTGTGCATTAATACGGAATATTGTTAATTATTTGGATACCATCGTCTTTTGTGTAAAGTGTGAGAGATTGATTGTTCGTCAGCCACTAGCAATCTATTGTTCAATTTCTATTTCGTAGCATCGGCCAAGAGTTCTCTCTTCAGAATAAACTTGATATGAACAATCTGCAGGCACACACACACACACACACACGTGTATGAATATCAATCAATCAGAGTCTATTACTGAACCTTTCAGTGGAGAGAGTCACTGCTTCTCAAATGTGGATTGCCTGATCCAGTCCATCACCAAATTGAGTTCTATAACAACCTTTTCTTATAGCTTTTTTCACGAATCTTCAGTTCATTCTTATAAAATTGTTCTAATGCAAGTTAGAGCTCTTATTGCTTTGTAGCAGAGAAGTTATTATACTTTTGTGTGCATCTTTATCCAATAAAATGGTCTCTTATCCCTCCGCTTGACTGCTTCCAGAAGTTTGAGAATCTTTCTTAACACAAGTTCAGTTCTTGTGCAGGCAGTGAACTTGAAGAGTTCAGAGATCTTGGATCACCAAAGTACACTGGTAAAAAAAGAGAAAAAAAAAAGAAAATATTGAAAATGTCATAGTGCCAATGCCCATCTAATTTCTTTCTATGCACCCATCCTCAGATATGCAACGAGGGCCGCCAGAATGCGTTGGCGGAGATCCTGGAGATAATCACGTTGGTCTGCGAGACCCACACGCTGCCGCTTGCCCAGACGT